TGACAGCTATGTTATCTGTTGGATTGTTTCCAGTCACTTTATTCAGCAAATAAACAACAAAGGTTGGTACTCATTCTCAATTTATTCCTATTAGATGTGTAATCATAAAGGACAGAGTTTAGGTCCATGATGTAAATTCCCCTCATTGTAATGTAATGTACATGTTTGCTTAGATAAACATCTAAGCAAATAAAAATGTAAGTTATAAAATTATACCAGTCAGGTGTGTTTCGTTGCACTAATCCAATTTAATGGCCACCAAAACACAAAATACTCAAAATGAGAAGTGGCAAAAAGTCATTTAACTTTCATAAAAAAATTCATTAAAAATTAAAAGCCTGAAGTTGTGAATTACTGTTGGAAGGAGTCCAAAGAAGCATGACAGCTGAAGAGTGAAGCATTCTGGGTAAAGGACCATAGTGCTGTGAAACAAACTGTCACAAATGACCAGTTTTCTACTTCATGGGGGATAAGGGTTTTGTGACAGAGCTGGATTGTTGGGTGAGGATAAGATGGGAACTGCAGTGAGACAGTTATGGTTCTACCCACCCTGTGAGGGACAAGCTTCAGTTTGACACTATGCAGATATTAATTCATTGATGGCTGATTTTACTGAAAGAAGACTTTTAATTTCAAATTGTCACACGTCAACATGTCAGCGGTTCAGGTGAACAGCATCATTCAGATTTTTGCCAGCTTCATTATAGAAGGATTAACTGATGAGTTCTGAAGGAAGGAAATGTGTAGTACTACTTATAAGTATTGTCATGGAACTATAGATAGGAAATATTATTATGAATGAGCATGTCTGGGATTTTAAACTACAATCCCCAAAAATCTATCAGTCTCACTGAATTCTGCAAGTTTTCTGCAAACTAAATAATTTACTCCTGATTCATAAAACTGATTATTATTTATCATGTGGCCATTAAACAATTCTGCATTTAGTGTGAAAATCTGCATAGTTCATCTTGAACTAAAGGAATCCTTTGTAATTGAGATTGTCACAAATGTATCATTTCTAGTTCATGTGAAATTTACTGAAAAGGAACTAAAAAATATAAAAATCTTTCTACTTCTAAAAACTTATCTTCTAAATCATGGAGAGCTTTAATTTTACTTTCATGTTAATTAATAATTTTTTTCATAAAATTTTACATTGCACTAAAATGTCTCTGGAACCAATAACACCAAGTAACTGAAAACCTGAGATGTGCAGAAACACTGTCACTATTTCTGATTACCTTCTAGAGTTATTGTCTTAGTTAGTGTTAGTGTAAACAGGACATTATCCTCAAGTTTCACAAACTGTCAGAGACATTAAATAAACATTTGCCTTAATAACTCAGGAGTCAGATCAGTGTTACACACTTCCATCTCAGGATGCAAAAACATGCTGCTAAGCACTCTGGGAAATAATTCTCACTCCTGTCTTTTTTGTTCTTTCAATTTTTGATCTGATCCTGACCACTGATTCATCTCCATCTGGATGACGGTTCTCTCTGTGGTTCTCTGGAGTCCCACATCTTTAAAAATATTGTAAACATTTAAAGGCTGAAATGTTAGAATCTTTTTCACCTTTTCATTAATTTTTTGTGTTGATTTTTCTTTTAGCCAACTTCATATTGTCAGATGTTCTTGATTCATCTGCTCAGATGAATCAACCCACCTGGGTTCTATCAGGTTCTGAAAGAACTCTGAGCTCTGGTAAAATAAACTATAAATTTAAAATTCTGCTTATTTTGGTTTGGTATTAAAACTTTTGTTTTAATTAAAACTTATTTGATCATCTAAAACTTTTAAGTGCAAAAAAAAGAAAAAAAAAAAAGAAAGTGAAATAATTTGTTACAGAAAAATACTTTCACAAAGCTTCCAAAATAGTAAATTCTGTTTAGGTTGAATTTTTTCACATAAAGTTGCTGATACAGACTCCCGTGTGGTTCCTATCATGTGATCCCTAATCTGCTTGGATAACTCAGTTTGGTTAAGAGTAATGCTGATCTTCACACATTCCCAGCTATTTGGATCCCATCGCTCTCTCCCAGCCACATTCTAATGGCTCTATAAAGTCTGGTGACCTCAGCCTCTCACATTTACAGCCAATGACTTTAAGTGTGTCCAATCCAATCTGCAGGTATTTATTGACAGAGAAGTGCACAGTGTCCCACTAAGTAAATTGAAATTGCTCGCCTCCCGTGGGACATCATTCAGCTGCGGCCAGCTTCAGGGGCAATGGGAGTTGGGTTGCAATCACTAGGGGATATGAGCATATTTATGCATCACTCATGATGTTATTCCTTCTTATTCCATCAGTAATGTTGTGTCCTGTTGCAGCTCTGTCCCTCACAAACGACTTTTATGTTCTTCTAATTCAAACAGGACATGAGGGGAAGATGTGGTGATGTATTGCTGAGCTGTAATGTAACACTCTGCAGTGTTGGGTTAAGCTGGTAAACACGTGGTGACTCTTCTACACCAGCTGTGCAGATGACCTGCAGCCTGCTGGCCAGTGCAGCCGCAGCTGGGTCAGTCACAAAAAAGCTGTGACGTTATACACCCATAAGCCCCGTCGCTGCAGCCTCAGCTCATTCTGAGATACATGCTTCATTACATCATTATTCAGATGGACACTTGAACCCCATGTAGCTCAGTGATGATGCATAAATCAAAGAATGATGAATGCAGCGGACTGGTCTTTGTTCTGAATGTGCATCATGGTGTGTTCTAATGCAGAAAGATAGATTCTTATGTAAAAATCAATAAAGGATATTCTCCAGAAAGGTGTCAGCGTTTAGTGTTATGGATCTTTTTTGACAGAGAAGCTGCTGCAGGTTTAAGTTGAAAATGTTATCGTTTTGTCAATCGATAAACGAGCTACTTCTTTCACCATCTTCACTCCAGCATCCATCTCCTCAAGTACACTCACTTCCATAGCTGATGATCAGGGCCAAGATTTCCTTGTCATTATTCTAAGTCCCAGGTATCTTTTTCTTGCTGGTCAAGAAAAGGATACCTGGGATATCTTAAACATTAAAACAGGATGACTGTTTTTAACCACCTGATCATGGTATTTGATCATGTTATGTAAAATGTGAGAAAATAATGACAAAAAGTGAATCTTCTAAATCTTTGGACATTGTTTCCAAAGTCTAGAAAGACTGAATTAAGGACATAAACCATATTATCAAAAGAAGTATAATCCTCATGAGTTTAAAATGCTCAAAAGTACAGCACTACTCCAAGGTGCTGCCATCATGAGAGGCGCAATTAATAAGTTTGCACTTATATTTCGACAACGTCTCCTTTTTTTTTATCAGGGTATTATTCAGTTTTATTCTATATTATTTATTTGTTCTTCTTTTTATATTCTTTTATTGTTTATCCAGCTTGGTTTCTGTTTCTGACCTAATGTCCTGTAATTTGGTTCAGCAGTGACCCCTGATGTTATGTTGAATGACAATAAAGATAATCTTCTAAAGTAGAGTGAGAGACTGAACAGGTTTGCGATTTATGATCTGCAGATGGTGAGATGTTTGTTCAGCTCTTCATTCATGCTGCAGCAGCACTGCATCTGTTAACCTGCCACAGCACCATGGAATGTAGGCATAAGGATGGATGTACATAATAGAAGGTCACTATGATCAAGCCAAAATATATGACATGTGGTCATAATCCATAAATAAAATATGTGTTCTGATAAGGATAGTTTGTCAGATTAGAAATTACTTTATGATAATAACAATAAGTGGGTATTAAACATAGTTTTTGTTAAGCTCACATTGGTATATTATGTCTTTTTATTGTTCTGATGTAATAGTATTTTTCCAACAGCTGTAAGCATAAAATGATCATAATTAACACAAATAAAGGCTTGAAAACATAAGTCTGTGTGGAATTTGTCCATGTAGTGGATTTACTTAGTTTTTATTCAAATAAATTAATCTTCATTAATATTCTGATTTATTGCATATGGCTACTTATAAGGTGGACTCAGTTCAGAAATTTAATTTATGTTGGGGATTTTGACAAGATAATTAAGTTCAGAAGTTTGGAGCCAGAAAAGTCAGAAAAAAAATCCTGAAACTGCAACAGTCCAGAAGTAGCTCGTCAGAAGTTTGATTGATTAGTTCATGTTCTGAGAAATATTTATTGCACTTCAGAGTAAAATAAAAAAACAATTTTGAACTACTTTCGGAGTCATCATGTGCTGGACCTTCAGCATCTAAAATGCTTCTTTCTGCTGCTGTTTGACCCAGAGGGAGTGGAAGGCTCTCCTCCGTCAGAACGGCTGAGGGATGCAGATACTGATGAAGACATTAATGGTGCAAAACTGTCCTCCTCCCCACTCCTTATTGTTTTATGAAGCCTGAACACAGACACACAGTCCAATCTCAGATTGATTATGCTGCTCTTCTCCATTGATTGTGCTGCATGTAGTTCTGCTGTCAAGTGTGCAGACAAGAGAAACGCACTGGGGGAGAAAAACAGACCAAAACACTCTGATTTTTATTTATGTTTATTCTCCTCACCATGACGAGCAGAAGAATAGTATTTTTTTTATTATTAATTTCATGGATTATTTGCTCATTATGCATTAATCATGGTGACTCATCTGAAAGGTGCAGGCGCCACAGTGTGAGAAACAGCCATTCTGATCTCAATTAGATTCTGCCTCTGCTCTCCGTCTGCCCATAAATCACCTTTCTAAAGTGAAATTAACAGTTACTGGAGCGCATTAATATCCCAAGTCAGGCATGAGGGGTAGGCAGTGAGTGGAACCAGCCATCTCTCACATTATGAAAACCTCCATTTGTTTGTAAAATATCAACATCACACTCAGATTTTCCTCCTCCTCGTCATACTGGGATCCAGTTACTGCCCTCTGAACAGGAACTCCATCAGAACCTTTCCACATATCACCAAATCTACAAAGCAACTGTCATTATGCTCAGTTTCTTCATTCTGCAGATGGCGACTAATTGCAATAATTACAGACGCTATTAAAATTATTCATCATCTTTTATTGCATTTACAAATCAATAATGATCAACATAATATGGCAATTTAATCAAAATAAAGTTGCAAAAAAAACCCAAAAAGGTGAAAACTGATTTCAATTACAAACAAATGAGTCAGACTCAGACCCGTCTGCAGGTCATAGCCACTCCTGGGGTCTGTTGGAGTCTAGCGAGCCACAGAAATAAAACATCAAGATAAGAGTAAATAATATTAAATTAAATGTTATTGTGTTAGTCAAACCATCTCAATTTTTACTTTTATAATCCAAAATTACACCAATGTGGGAATATTTTAAGACGTACTCATTGAATGCATACAAAGCTATTATATTTTTGCAATTTTTTAAGAGGTAGTTTTATCAGTGAAGCTGGGATATCTGGAGAGAACGCAGACATGCACAGGATTTGAACCCAGGACCTTCTTGCTACCTGCTACAAAGGAAAACCCTGTAATGTTTTTCCTTTTACATGTTGGCTCTAAGGTAGCAGCTTAGCTTCAGTTACAGACATATTATACAGATGTTTTTCAGTGTGAAATAGAAAAATCAAATAAGTGTCAAAACTATATTTTCACTTTGACATACATGAAAAGACAGTTTGGGATGTTTTTTCCCCCCACACTTTTAGGTATTTTTTTTTTACACTTTTAGTCAGGATGATATTTGACCTGCAGGAAAACACTGGGCAGTTCTTTCTCCATCCTCTCTGTCAGCTCCTCAGTAACACTGTGGTCTATCAAAGGTCAAAGGTCACCCAGCATTCTCTTGTCAGGTCTCCCATGAGTCATTACCATTTTAATGTCACACTTCCATCTATCAGTCCTGTGAAGGGCAGCACACAGAGGGTGTAAGCCTGCGTCCCGGGGGCTTCATTCGTTCTGTCTGCTGACAGTCAGATGAATCCTTCTGCTGCATGGTTCCTCTTCCACTCGTCCCTTCACTTCTCTTGTTCTTGCTGAGACTCACATTCCAGGACATTTCAGTTGGGGGCAATTATTTAACAGACAGAACTCTGAATGTAGTCACAGCAAAAAGATGTTTGTGTCAATTGTTGCTAAGCAGTCCAGTAAAAGTTGATACCAGATGGCTCTGGATGACTAGATCAGTCACACCAAACACATATCTAATATGAAATCTGATTATAACAGCTTGAGGATCAGTGTGTAAGGTACCTTTGGTAAAGAGCTGAATGGAGGACAGGTTAGATAAAGAACTGAGTCTGAGCTGATCTTGAGGTCGGATGAATGTGAACGGAGCTTCCAGCTTGGTGTCTCAGTGTGAAGGAGCAACCTGGAGGTAGGCGTTTTGTGAGCTGATGAGGATTGCATCTTTTGTTCTGAACAGAAACATGGGAGAGCAGGCAGGCAGGAGGAGATGGAGCCGAGGACAATGAGGAGGTTAGAGCGCTAAGGCGACTCGAAAGGGAGCCAGACTGGAGAACTGGTGTGGTATGGAAACCATTCCTATCATTAGACCTGACTCAAAGACAAGCACAGAGAGGCTTCAGTGGTTTAACTCTACCTGATATGGCAATCATCAGGATCTGATTGGCTGTGCAGACGCTTCTTAAGAAGCCACAGCAACAAACGGCCAAATTGTTGCCAGGTGTGGTTGCTGCCTCCAGAGGATCACATCCTCATTCAGAGTCTCAGTTCTGGGAAGACTCAAAACGCAACACACAGAACACACAACACACAAATCCTAACACAAAGAGTCCAGTCTGTCTATCAATGCTTATTTTGTCACAGCAATGTTGTGATTTTTGCTTGTTTGCAATTCTATTTTCTAATTAATCGTGCAAAGCACTTTGAATTGTCTTGCTGCTGAAAATGTGAAACATAAATAAAATTGCCTTGGCAGAAGGCAATTTGGCCACTTTAAAAATAAGTCATTTCTGGTCAAAATCAAAACATGCCTTATGACAACAAGGCTGCAGAAAAGACATGGCTTTGATGGATGATGGAGATGGAAAAGCTAAAAAAGTTTTTTTCTTCACGAGGAACAAAAACGAAAGAGCTGCAGCTAAAGATGAAAAGTTATTTAAGTAGGAAAAAGAAAGAGAAAGAAGTAGAAACATGAAGAGGAGATAAAGAGTCTGAAGATGGAGCTGGAGATGGATTGTTCCCTAAACGCTGATGATTCCAGCTCTTCCATCTGTCAGGATGTGAACCGCAGCAGCAAGCTGAGCAGGAGAAAGAATCTCCATTCATAATTAATGACATCATTTCAGCTACACTATTGACTAAACAAATGCATAAATCACACAGGCCTGAGTCAATAGACATGAAATGTTTAATCATGTTCTTAGTAATGACTACAGTTCCCATAATGCCATAATAGTTTTGAGCTGCTGATGTGGATTAATGTGCTGTCAGATGAAGATTGGAGTGAGAGGAGACATGCTGCAGCGATCAGCCGCCTGAGCTGGACTGACAGCGACAGCGGGGGAAAACGCTGCACTTTATGTGGAGTGGCAGGCGAAAAGTGGCTGTCAAAAAATGCACTGGATATTTGCTGTTTTGTTTATCAGCCGGCTGGCGCTGAATAAAAGTGCAGGAACATGTAGAGGCTGTCCTCCTGCCTTTTCATCTGCTCTCTAAATGGGTCTGGGGATTGGAGAGTGCAGTTTATCCCCTCCATTCTGCCTGACAGAGAAACCATTTAAAGCTGGCTGCAGAGGAGACAGCAGTCTGTCACCAGAGACAGCGCTCAAATCAACTCTTCACATGCTGCTGCCCGCTGCGCCTCCTGCCTTCACATCAGCACACTCAGCCTCAAGCTGCCAGCTGTGTACAAATGTGCCTCTCACACACCCAGTCGTGTTTTCTGTCAAAATCACAATATGCTTCAATCTTTGTGGTTTCAGGTAAGTAAAAGCTGTTCCATCGTAGCAGCAAGGCAAAAAGAATCTCATCAGAACTTTTTGAGTTTCTAAGAGATCTGCAGGATTCCTTCCTTCCTTCCTTCCTTCACATCCATATATGAATGTTCTCAGCCAGCTTCAGTATCAGTGATGTGATTCTGCTCTGATGGGTCCATCTCCTCATGACACATAGAAGCTGACCCCCCCCCCCCACCGCTCCCCCTGCCCCCAGCAGTTTGGGTCACAGGTTAATGACTTTGTATATAACGTCCAGCAGACTCTTTGATAAGTCGTGGTCCAGCCCCTCCCTCCATGTGTCCACTGTGAGGACGATGAGGATGCGGTGTAGCAACAGGAGGAGAGGAATGTGACGGCTTTGTGGGAGAACAAGCAGCCAGGCCCGCACAGTGAGAACCACCAATATTTATTCATGATAGAGAGAAAGTACTGGTTTGTTGGCACAGGCTACTTCATTTACATTCTGTTATGGACTGTTTGCTCCAGCGTGGGAGCTGTGTCTGTCTCCAAATAGATGAACCTGTCCCGCTCACTCCTTTTCTCTGTCATCCAGTCAAGAAAACTCTTCAGTTTTTCACAGAAGCTCCCTTCATGTTAAAGTACAAGCTAGCTTCTGTTCTCAATAACCTCTAAAACCTATTAGCATAAACCAAAATCGATTGTTCGTTGGGGTATTTTCAAAATGTTCTGTGGCGTTGGGGGTATGGACTTTTGCTTTATGTTTAAATAAGAAATTATGCATTTCTGTGTTCAGTTCTTAAGTAGTTTAAGTTTATCATGCGTCTTCCAAACATCTGCCACTAACTGGAGTTCAGCACTCAGTGTCAATTTATGACATAGAAAAAAACAAACAAACATCCAAAATGAAGTTGAGGAAAATTGTCTTTTACAGCAGGCAAGGACTAACTGAAGGATGGAAAGAAGAAAGATAGGCAGGATTGAATGATGGACGTGAAAAAGGAAGAGAAAAACAAGGGAAGCTAAGACTGAAGAAAAGACAGAAGAAAGGAAAGAAGATTGCAGCACAAGAATGGAGGACAAAAGTGTTGAAAGGAAATAAGACAAAAGGAAGAAAAGGTGCAAAGAGGGAAAGGAAGAAGGGAAAAAGAAAGGAAAGAAGGCCACAAGGAACTGTTTTAATAGGACACAAAGCAGAGAGGTGAGCCATAAAAAGGAAGGAAATAAGAAGGCAATGAGCAAAATAAGTAAGGACACAGGGAAGGAAGGAGGGACATAAACAAGGGAGCAAGGAATATTTAAGTGAAGTTAGAAGAGCAGGAAAGAAGAAAGGAAGGAAGAATGGAAAGAATATTGAAGCTTTTAGATGATGATGATAAATGGAATATAGTCTGGAAAAGTGAATATTTTCCAGACTTGTTTTCTCTTTCCACACTCTTCCAAACCTAGAAAACATTGAAATCACATTCCAAACTTTTCCAGACTGAATAAATCCCAGATTAACCAAACCTGCAGGTGATAAAATACCTGTGCTGTGGCTATGATTAGGACATGTCCAGTCATAAAGCTACTTATGAACAGACCATCTCAGATTATAACTTTTTTTCACTGTGTAGAAAAAAAGATTCATAAATAGAAACCCAAAGACAAA